ATGATCCTCAGAATCCCCTATGAACTCTTCTTTAAGTTCTCTAAAGATGATTATAGTCACAAACTCCTTAGTAGGGGAAATGACTCTAATGTTGGCCTATGGATCTAAGGTTGAGCCCATCACTAAAAATCTGCTATTTATCAATTTTATCTAAATGAACGCGGCAGTGGGACGGTACTAATGGATATTTTTGGTCGCTGTTGAAAATTTAGTCGATTGCTGAATTTATGTATGGGCCCATATTAGGGGAATTTAGGCCGACATTACATCCCTTTCCCTTAGGTCATTGAAATTTATCTCAAATCTTCTTTGAAAATTTACTTGAATCTTTCCTCTAAACTAATCCTAAGAGTGCTTCTGGAATTATCATCTGAATTATCATTGGATTATTTTCAGAATTCCCTTTGGATTCTCCTTCTGCACTTGTAACTCTACTAACAAGTAACTTGGTGAAGAGCTTTGAGTGGGTTGGTTTAAATATTTCCTTTAAATTCCGTTATAATTGCTTATCTTTTGACAGATACGCGTATTTCGTCTACTACTTGCAGACTTCATCAGTGCCAAGTACTCAACACCACTGAAGTAACTTGGATTTCTACTTAGAATTCACTTTCATTTCTGCTTACAAATCTACAAAAAGTCTCCTCAAAATTTCTTAGCAGTTTTAGTAAGAACTCTCTTTGAATTCTCTTTGAAATTACCTTGCAATGCGCCACAGAATTCTCAGATACTCAGAATTCCCTTGGAAATCTACTCAGAACTACCTTGGAAATCTCCATACGTTTCACCTGTAATCTGGAGTTCCTCAGAACTAATTCAAAAAGAATCCTGAATTCTTATCCTTATTCGCATTGATCCTTTGATCCTCCTTCGCGATTAGAATTCGTCCTTGAAATGACCAATCCTATCTATGATCCATGTTCCTTGATATGTCCTATTCCTTTACTGCATCCAACCTGGTTCAGTCCATCCATTCCTCGGAGATTGCAAATGAACGAATGCGTTGATGCTCTCACCCATCATATCAAATCGGTTTCGGCTGTGGTGATAGCTTGAGGGTGGTTTAGTTTGTAGATGTCCTTTGTCTACTATTATATCCTTCGGATTTTCGAAGCTTAGCCTTGTCAGTTCTTTGGTGTGGTATTGATCTCAATCGAATTATTATCGAGCGTTGGTTGGATCCTATTGGCATGCGTTTATCTATTATCCTGACTCCCTTTATCAGTAGATGAACCCACCAAATCCAAATATGTTGTTGGTGTAGTGGTGTGAGTCGATTGTCTTCAGCATGATTGATGCAGCTCCAATTCCTTTGCCCCTTGATTCCGTTGGACACCCCCCATGGTGTCCATGGCGTGATCAATACCCTATATTCATCGGATTGTGTTGGTGTACTGCTCGGTGAACGTCCTTTGTTCATGAGCGTTGATAGGTTTGGTGGCTTACAATCGTCTGTGAGCGGTTGACAGTGCTTATTGGTTAGCGTGTCGAGTGCTCTGGATGGTGAATGTGTGACCATTGCCGGAATTAGACAATGAACTCCCGTCCGTTCCCTGGATTATGCACACCCCAAGTGTCCATATGCTTTTCCTTGGTTAATTTGAGCCATTGAAGTAGGAAGCGGACACGCCTAGTGCCCTGGTCCGTAGGTGTAGGAAAAGGTCACCCTTTGAGTCCGGGTACCATAGGAGATGTTAACCGACGCCCCTAGCGTCCCTTCGATGAAATTGGAATCGAACGTTTCATGTTCCGTTGGATTGGTGTTTGACACCCTGTGTGCCAGTGACCCATAGAAATGGAAACATACACCCTGTGCACCCGTGGTCCGTTGGATGGGAATTCTTGGAACCGGGAATGTTCAAGACTGCCCTTGGCGTGCTGAATCCGTTGGATGCTGAATGAACCGAGGATTAACCTTGCCAGTGTCTAGTGAAATTGTTGATTGGTTGACCTTGTTGTGTATTGGCGACCTTCCGTTGTGATGAGCTGCCCTGCACATCATTGTGAACTTTGGGTCATTCGTGACTTGTCTGGGGATGAGATTTGAACTCGTGACTTTGGTGTGAGAGGTATGGATGCTAACCTTTACGTTGGGGTTGCCCCCTGGAGTATAGATGTTGGTGGCTACCGTAGTTGTTTCAGCATAACGTTCATCCGTATTTGGTTTGATGTCTCCGAGGCGATGGATGGCATAACAGCCGATTTGGTTAGTATCGAAAAGAGAGGTTTGTATGTAGTATTCTGTCGAAGTCCGATCGTAGTGGGAGTAAGTAACATTGAATACGAGCCACTCCGAACTTTGTTGATCCTAGATGTTCCGAGGATGATTGATTTCAATAACCCGAAACTTCGTGAATCCGTGTACGACGACATCCGACTTCGATCGAACATGAAACTTCGAGATCCAAGCGACGGTGACCGTAGCTCGTGGTTCTTTGGTATCGTTCCAACCGGTGGATGTACTATTTGTGGTTGTAGTGGTGCGATGTTCACTTCCAAACCATTCCGTAGTGGATGCTCGATTTATGGATTTAAATGTATCCAATATGTTCGCCCTCATCGAACAGTGCGGTTAATCGCTCCGGATCGTTGAATTGCAGTAGATCGAAAATCGTTAAGTTTCGTGTTAGTGGTATTCCGTGTAGCCTCGACTGGACACACACTAAATAATAGTTACCTGTGGAAACAGGCATTCCACCTGGGTTGAATCGGTCGTAGTCCTTATACCAAAGATGGATCGTAGTGATATTAATGATTCAAAGTGAGTTGCCATTGTTAATTGCATTCAAGCCCTTGTGTGATTCAATGATGGATGATTGCTTGTGGTGCAAAATCCATTTCTTCACGACCGATAGCTTCCGATATTGGTTGGTGCTTATCCTCAAGCGCATGGTGCTCAGTGGTTTCCGCAGAGGAATAAATGGAGAAGATACATCGAAAAGATGTGTTAGTGTCTTGAAATCCTATTTCGGCAACCGTTTGCCTTGAATCCATTCCAGTGTTTAGCGGTATCCAATCAGAGTTGATTGGTATACTGCAATACCGATCGTTGCAGTAAGTCTCAAAGTTTGTCCATATTGTTGATGGTTCCCGATGAGCAGTGTGTTTTGGTAGATGAACATGGTTGATTTTGCAATGACAGTTCGAAGCGTTAATTCCTTGAATTTGTCGACGTGGTAAAGGTTTTCCATTTTGGCAGATTGCACTATGCCATTGTGCAAATTCCGTTGTGGTGATGGCGATGGACGGTGAAATCAATCCAATTGTCTATGTTGCGATGGCGACAGCCATTCTGCGCACCATCTGATAACCCCTATTGCACTCCATTCTTTCCGTATTGAATTGCATGCATTCCGTGGTTATCCAAATCCGTAGTCCGTTCCCAAGCTTAGTCCAGGTCCACACTATCCGGTTCGAAGGACCAAATCTCGGGGTGGAGTCCTTGGGAAGTTGGTTCCTTCGTGGACTGTATAATGTAGGTGGTGCTCCACTCCTCCAACACGATGGTGGCATTGATGAGAACGGTTGATGTAGGGAAAATACTGCACTCAGCATTTTTTTTTTTTGCTGAGATACAGAACCGATCACTTTCTCCATAGACATTAAACACGTACAAACACATAGGCAACGGTTATTTTCCACTAACTGTCATGTCATTTTCAACTTACGACATTGGACAATACAAAGAAAGCCCGTAACAGTATAATTAACTTTTAAAAACTGTATTGAATGACATTCATTAACCTCTGTGTTTCTTTTTCACCTCTCGAAATGCTGCATAGGGGAAATCAGGCTGAACGTTGCATTCTAAGGTCCTAAGTAACATTAACAGGTTCTTTTCGTCAACTTTCTCTTTGGCCATGTAAAGACATAGCCAGGTATTTTCAGCTTTTATCTAGCATCGAATACGATACACGCAACAAGAAACGGTTATGTGCTCAAGTTATTAACGATGGAGAAAGTCGACGAAGAGAATCGATCAATGTTACTTAGACGTAATGCATTGTTCAGCTTGAAATGGTCTGAATAAATTTTTCGCTTTAGGACGGCCTGTATGTCATGTGTCTGATATGCTTCCTTGATCTCTTGTGAAGAGCAAACCCACAACGAACAGCTGTAATATTGTTGTTAGAATCTCCAATGGATTATACACATTCTTTACAACTTACAGTGTACTGCATTTTGTTAAACTGTAAAATGATACTGTTCCAAATTTACCGGGGCTACGCTGATTATTTCCACAATAGATACGCATTTAGATTTTTTTTGGAAAAAAAAAAAGGGCACCACCGAGCAGCTCAGCTTTTTATTTTACTGGATCCCAGTGAAAAACTTGCCGAGATTCAGCTAACAAACGGGAATTTTTTCAAGATCTTAGCTAACAAACATAAATTTTGCTGAATCTCGACAAGTTTTTCACTGAGATCCAGCAAAATAAAATGCCGAGCTGCTTGGTGGTGCCCATTCTCGGCAAAAAATCTAAGAGTGTAAGTTCACACTTTTTTCCCATCATGAAAACAATTCTTCTAGAAAATAAAAACTAACTTCTGACAAGTGAATGATATTAAGTCTGTCTATGGTAACGCCATCTGGTAGCTCATTGCTACTTGATTATCTCTTTTAAAATAACGTTTATGGAATTTGACACACGTTGAAATTCAAGCTTGAATGGCTGTCTGCGTCTATATCTTTATACCACATTCAGACTACAGACTTATAACATGTTATAATATGTATCATCAAGAAAATTGCCATCAAGATCAAGAAGAGAGAATTATAACATGTTATAACTGCTCAGTCTGGCCAGTGTTTTAGAATACCATATATTCTGAAACAACCACCGCTTCAGTGTGAATTTCTATCAAAAATAATAAAAAGAAATACAGCCTCTAAATCTAGCACAAACTGCCATCATTTCTTCCCCATTAACAATTCTCCCTCGTTCCTTCGCGCATACAACAACTTGCGGTATTTGAATGTTTGTGAGAAAGCCGATTTACCTTTTCTCCATGACGAATGACTCCGGCTCTTCGAGTTATTCAATTTGTCCGTCGTTCGGTCCGTCCTATGCGGCACACAACATCAATCCCTCTTGTTTCCTTATAGTTGCCAACATCGAATAACATTGGCAACCGAACACACCTGGCCGCGGTTGCGTGAAATATCTGCAACGACCATGCAACCAGTAGGTATCGGTACCACTACATCAACCAAAATAGTTACAGCTCGTTTGCTCGCTGGTTCGGTTTCGTTCCGCTGCTGATGTCACTGGAATCCAGTCTGCTTCAGCTTTGTTTTGATTTCGCACCACTCCGTAACTGCACTGACTGCGTGTTCAGAATTGCATTCCACGCACTGACGAACTACTTTGCACTGAGCTTTTCTTCGGCTTTGAAAGTGATCCACTTCACACTTCACAAAAATTTCACTCCATTCCCACTGTCAACCGACTTTCCAAGACCCACTTCTTGTAGTCTTGAACGTGGAGGTTCCCACGGCAGTAATTTTCCCGTGCCCAAGCACACACACTTTCCAGCAGCGATCTGCTTTCCTCTCCCACGGTCTTCGTCACCAGCTTTGTTTTGTTACAGTGTACTAGTTGTACTAGTGTCTACCTCCCCCAATCGCTGTGATGATGTTTTTCCCCCTTTCCACAATTTCACTTAATCAACATTGAATGGCTCGTGCACTCACACCATCACACCGCCACCATAGCCCATAACAATAACCCCTAAATCAACTGTTATTGCTACTAATTCTACGTCGCAGCACCACTGCGATATCCGAAAGCCTAAGCCCCGAAAGCTGCAATCACACAGGCTGGAATGGAATCTGCTCCGAAACAATTAATCGGAAAGAATCGATGGAATTTCCTGTTTAGCACCACGATACACTCACACGACAGGAAAAAAAAGGTCCAAGAACGAACGCGACCCGCAGTGGACCAAGTTCACCAACCGAATAATAATAGCACACACTGTCCAAAAATTCGAAAGGAAACTCAAGAAAAACTAATAATCCAAACGGCTGCAACGACGACGACGACGACGTCGAGGATAGATAGGTACAGATAGACAGAGCCGTCGCGAACCGCCTGCCGCTGCTGATGGCTGATCCGACTCGAGAGAAGAATGTATATCACTTGACACCGTTTTTTTCCTCTCTTGCTGTGTTTCTCCTTGTTCCGTTCATTCGTCCGGCAGAAGGCTGGTTGATGGTGTGTCATTCGCCGCGCACCATCTGACGTTTGATCGTTTTGCTGTCAGGCGAATGCAAAAGGGAAACGGTGCAAACGATGAATGAAAACTGTTGGGAGGTTCGCTTCTGCGCGCCAAAAGTGGAACCTTGCAAATGTGAGTTTTGTGTGTTCTACACGGTCGATCAATCTAACGCAGAGATTTGCAGAGTGGTATACACAACCGGTGAACACTCGTGTTTATTTCAGTTACCATGGAGACGTAATTTGTGATTAGCCCCGGTCCCTTTCAAATTGTATCATTATTTATGAACGGCCTTATATTTGAAATGACGTTTCACATTCATCTAGTGATGTTCGATTTTCATTCGAATAATCGTTTAATCGATTAACGAACCGAAAAGTAAACTATTTATAATCGGTTAGATCATGCCGATATAAGCATTAACATCTCCACAGGATCATCACCGATCGTTTCAAACATATGCTGCACTCTCATTGGTGGAAAAATGGCAGCACAGCGAACAAAAAATAATCGATTAGTTGTTAATCGAGTAATTAAAAAATGAGACATCTCTGGTTTTGGTGTGATTGTTTTGATAAAAATGAGCGCAAAATTTCATCTCTTCCGAGGGGGCAGCAAAACCACAAAATTACCTTGAATACGGGGGGTTCTCATTGGATGAAAGGGACCGTGAAAGAAGACACTAAAATAGAAAGTTTTTCTTCCGACAGTTTCATCTTAGTATTCATCTTTGGTATACATGCTGAAGCACGTTACACACCAAAAATCAGAATCGAATTCCAGCATAAATACATAATACTAAATAACAAGCAATGCGAAAATTTTGCTGGTTGTGCAGCTACCCTCATGATCTGTCAAATTATTATTTATATTCTCACGTTTATTGTTTTCATGGATCGAAGTGCACTTTACAACAAATTCTTCGTGCACATTACTAGCCGCATTTACCAGGTATAATGAAGTAACTTATTCAAATTTATCATTCATTCAATTGAGAAATATTATCCATTTGATAACATTAGACAATTAAAAAGCAAGATCTCACTGACGAAAAAAGATAACGGCAATCAAATGTCTACTGTGTTTTGTTTTAAATAAATAATCATCATGCATAACACAGTTTACTTATTCTCTAAGCCAATTATCAAACCTAATCAATTTAATAAAATCAATTAATTTTGCTGGCTATACAGCAAAATGGTTTTCACTTGAAGTTGCTGAAAGAAGCAGTGAAATTTTACTGAATTTACAGTAAAGAGCTGTCACATCTGCGACATTGTATTTTGCTGGTCGTTCAGCAATCATATTTCGCTGGATGCATTACTGTATTTACAGCTTATTTAAAGCTTATTTAAAGCTGCTATACAAACTTAAAAGTACACCCACCGACAAACCGACATGACACTTAATTCTAACTTATGCCAGAAATCGTAAATGGCCGATTTAAATGTGCAGTGATGCGAACTGTCAAAACCATAAGACTTTTTGATCTAGATAAAAATAATTTGTCCAGAATAGATCAGACACGAACCAATTCATAACTTTTGCATGCGGGTTCATGGCTTAGCTAAATATTTCCCGCGAACACGGAGCCAGATGTCAGTAGTGTGCTTTGGTCAGAAATTTTTATTGTTTTTGCTATGGTCATTCATGTCGGTTTGTCGGTGGTACACCATCAAATCTACACGCAGAAAAAAATATTTTAAACGTAATAATATTTGACGTAAATTTAATAAGAATTTCATTTTGTTCATGTTTGTTTATTTCACTTTGTTTTTAAAACCCATGGATTGTTAAATCAAAAAGAAAATCTTTTCGAATTTACAAGAGCTTTTATGGTTTTGACGTAAGCTGTCAAATTTGGCAGCTGGGTCAACAAAAAATATGTTTGTTTTTAAAAGAGATTTCTCGTTGATTCAATCATATTTATTTTACTAAGCCTAAAAATATACGCAGTAGAAATAAAAATATGTTTATTGATTCAATTTTTAATAATTTGCGATTATTTTTATGTTTTGTTTTCTATTTGTTACCAACAGAATTACAATTAAATTAAAAAAAACTTTCCGGTTCATGAGTTGATGGGTCGATAGGTAGGGTCCAGGTGTGGGAGCGGCCTTCCTGGCGTTGGGAGCATTGGTACTCAGTACTAAAAATAAGATCGGCGGAAAAAATCAAGGAAAAAAAGAAAAACTGTTTATATTTTGCAACAGCAGCATACTTACTTACCTCTAGAGCTGAATCAAACGAGAATTTTTTTGTTATTGTTTACATTTTTGTCCGGGTTTTCACGAGGGAATGGTTGGTAGTTATTTTTGCATTCATGTCCCGGGGAATTGACACAACAAATAAATGTTAAATTAAAATTAACTATTGTTGGCTTGATAAAAGAATATTGTTATTTTTACAATAGTTGCAGTTGAAGAGTGGCTTATGAAAACAAAAAGAATCTTATTTTGAATTTATTTGAATAAATATTATCGAAACAATAAAATGCAATATAATTTCAACCGGAATTGTTTGGTTCAATGCAAACAATTTTCTGTCCGTGCAGACCGCAACCAAATTCGTTGAAATTTGGCACAGTTGTTGGGGATCTCAATACGCACCGGAAAAGTACTGGGGAACAGGAGGTTGTTGTCGTGACGCAGCTCTCACGGGTGCTGCTGTTTCTGTTGCTGCTGGTGGTCCGTCACCTCCAAAATTCGTTATAAGAATAACTTCAACGAGCTTAGGTACTTCATATTTATACCTGCTAACCTATCAAAATTGTCTAACCAATGAGATTCTGTTTACATGCGAACTATCACTCACTTGATTCTACTCATTATTTATTCAACACTAACTCTATCTACTACATTCTTTCCCTCTTCTACTCTCCTTAATTGAGGAAGGGGGGGCATTATATCCACCCATTTGGGGGAATTTTATCTACCCTCTCGGGGGACTTTCATCTACCATCTCAGAGATATTTCATCTATCAGGTCATGGCAATTCTAACTATTTAAAAATTTCCTTAGTCCATCCATCAAGTCATGGCAATTCTTACTAATTCTAAATTTCTTCAGTCCATCCATCAGGTAATGGAAATTCTTATCTACCATCCGTCCCAGAATTACCAGGTCATGGTAATTCTATCTACCATCCATCAGGTCATGGTAATTCTTTCTACCATCCATCAGTTCATGGTAATTCTTTCTACCATCCATCAGGTCATGGTAATTCTATCTACCATCCATCAGTTCATGGTAATTCTTTCTACCATCCATCAGGTCATGGTAATTCTATCTACCATCCATCAGGTCATGGTGATTCTATCTACCATCCATCAGGTCATGGTAATTCTATCTACTATCCATCAGGTCATGGTAATTCTATCTACCATCCATCAGGTCATGGTAATTCTATCTACCATCCATCAGGTCATGGTAATTCTTTCTACCATCCATCGGTAATTCTTTCTACCATCCATCAGTTCATGGTAATTCTTTCTACCATCCATCAGGTCATGGTGATTCTATCTACCATCCATCAGGTCATGGTAATTCTATCTACTATCCATCAGGTCATGGTAATTCTATCTACCATCCATCAGGTCATGGTAATTCTATCTACTATCCATCAGGTCATGGTAATTCTATCTACCATCCATCAGTTCATGGTAATTCTTTCTACCATCCATCAGGTCATGGTAATTCTATCTACTATCCATCAGGTCATGGTAATTCTATCTACTATCCATCAGGTCATGGTGATTCTATCTACCATCCATCAGGTCATGGTAATTCTATCTACCATCCATCAGGTCATGGTAATTCTTTCTACCATCCATCGGTAATTCTTTCTACCATCCATCAGTTCATGGTAATTCTTTCTACCATCCATCAGGTCATGGTAATTCTATCTACCATCCATCAGTTCATGGTAATTCTTTCTACCATCCATCCGGTCATGGTAATTCTATCTACCATCCATCAGTTCATGGTAATTCTTTCTACCATCCATCAGGTCATGGTAATTCTATCTACTATCCATCAGGTCATGGTGATTCTATCTACCATCCATCAGGTCATGGTAATTCTATCTACTATCCATCAGGTCATGGTAATTCTATCTACCATCCATCAGGTCATGGTAATTCTTTCTACCATCCATCGGTAATTCTTTCTACCATCCATCAGGTCATGGTAATTCTATCTACTATCCATCAGGTCATGGTAATTCTTTCTATTATCCATCAGGTCATGGCAATTCTATCTACCATCCATCAGGTCATGGCAATTTTTTCAAAATAATTCTTCAGTTCTTTAGTCATTCCACTATATTTACACTATCGTACCAACTGTGCCATTGTCGTGACCGGACCGAGGTTTCCAGCCTCGGCCACGGCAACACGAATTAGCGATGCAGCTCTCACGGGTATAGCGAATCAAAACAAACATTGCGTAGTACTAGAATTTCGACTAGAATGGGGTACGTTAATCGTTTACTTGGGACCAATAGGCTAGTCAAGTAGTGAGCCAATTTAAAATAGTTAGTTTCGTATTGATTGTTGGTACTGATCAAATGTAGTGTCAGTAACAACCTTGTGATAAGCTGTTTCTATGCACCACCAATATAGAGGCGGTAGGCGATTATGAGAGGAAACGTCAACCAAACCGTTTGTTTACATCAAAATTACATTTTTTACATCTCAAATTAATGCATATATTTATTAGACCTGTTCCTTTTAACAGAAATGTTCGGGATGCAGCGGGTCAACCGTGATTACTGTTCGTCATGTTAATTTGAACTTCTGTGCAAATTTTCAGCAAAATCGGAGATGATTTAGAGGTGCT